GAGTTTCATCAATTTTTATTTAAGTATTCATTTTTTTGGTCTTAAATTTGTTTTAATTTTAATTTTAATTTTTCTATATTAAGATTAATTTTCTATAACCCAAACATGACATTTTAATCAGATTAATTTCAAATCGTCTGAATCTTCTTAAAATTGTTAAAACAATTATGAAAACAAATGCTAACTTTTATTTTATTTTTACATTCAATTTGCATTTTTATAACTCAACATGAAAAAAAACTTTCTCTTCTTTATAACATAAATTCAGCGTAGTTCTTTTTTTATTAGATCACTGTAATGGATGTGTTAAGTTTGAACTCAATGATAAATTATTGTATACCATGAAAATAGATGCTAAGCGAACATCAGTCAGTCCATTAAGACAGAATTTTATATTTCTTAGGATATTTTACTTTTATTATTATTGTAACATTATTTTGTATAATATTATTTAACTACTATTAAATAGTATTTACTAGAAAAAGCCAGAAAGGAATCTAATAAAATAAATAAAACTAGGATTTCAAATTCCAAGAGAAAATAATGGAAATACTAGCGTGTCCTAGAAGAGGCGTATATTGCACTATAAAGTGTTTCATTAAGCTGAATGTCGGAGAAAAAAAAAATACACGGTTAAAATCACGGATTGGGTAGTGTGCGCCTTCTTGATTATCTCTAATGCATTTGATTGATAGCTCGACAAGAGGATGTGTTTGGAGATCTGAGGATAAAAACGACAGTGACAATGATACTCAACCAGTTGGCAAAATATTAAGGGGCTGGTGGATTCATTAAAGTTGTCTTAAAACAATGAGAGTGTATTGTAAATGTATGAAATCAGAGAGTAGGAAATATTATCTAAATTTAAAATTATCTCTCGATGCGCCTGTATGAAACATCTGTTTCTGGAAGATATGCGAACAGTGAAACCGGCTTCAGTAAACATGTACAAAAAAACTATAGCAGTTGAACAATAAAAAAAAAACATTTTCAACAACGTCAAAGTCTTCGATATCTACGATGATCGTATATTTTATAATATGTAAAACAAAAACACTGCCACAACGTTGTCGTTGTGTTGAAGTTTGTTTAAAATGTTATACGTATCATGATTTTTATTTAATGTAATGTTTATTTTTTAAGTCTTAAGTTCAAATAATAACCAACTGCCTTAGTACCCCTACCACTATAATATCTAGCCACGTCAAATATATTTTACAAAAACATTGTTTTGTATTTTTATACGGACGACTTCCATGAAAAATAATATTATTATAGTAGCGGTACTACGAAAATAATATAACACTATGATTGAATCAAGATCGAAAATATATTATCATAGTTGCAAGTTTAAATAATATGTTTACGTACCTTTTTTTTTTTGTGACCAGATAGTACTTCGTATTAGAAATTTAGAACTGAACACAAGTTTTACAAAATACTATAATTTATCATAAAAACTATTATTTAAATCTTCACTTTGTTCCGAGAAGTCATGTGCAAATATGTAATATGGTATGACTATAGTTCGCAATTTAACGGTAGACACTTATGAGTTATGACCTATTTATATATTTATAATCATACTGTTTTCCAAATAAACAATGATGAGTGATTATGCTTGAACTTAAAACTCGTATTGAAAATAATAAATGTGATAATATTATTCAAATTGAATTTTATTTTTTGTAACACTATTGTATTCAATTAAAAAATGCATGGCAAATTAATTTTAATAGTTTTCATACAACTAAAGTGATTGTGTGTTGATGAAATTAACATAATACGTTTTTTAAACATTACTAAGTAGTATAACGCTGAATTTTAATAATAATTATTAGTTTACGATTGGTTAATTTTGTTCACATGTTGAGCTCTAATATTAGTTCAAAGTTTCTGGCTATGTTTCTAATTTTAAATTTAAGTTTCATCTTATGAAGTAAGGACTAAGGAGTAACATGAATTATATAGAGAAAATAATTGACCGTATAGTTTTAAGCTTCTATAATAAATACAATTCGGGTTATCTATACGAGCTTATAAACTTTGTGTGCAGAACAAAAGTTTATCGAAGCAGAGTTCTAAAAAGATTATTTAAAAACTACAATATTTCAAGTTTTTGATAAACTGTTATAATAACTATGTAGTTTTGAGTAAACTAATATATTTTTAAATTGATGATTTTAAGTTTTGTTTGACCTGTGAGTCTGGCAGAAAGCTGTATTGGTTTAAAAGTATTGAGCTTCGGACATATTATCGTTAAATATAGTGGACACACCAATAACCCTCTCGGCGTATTGACTTAGTATGTTTTCTTTGTTGCAGGTAATGTTTAAACAATTTAAAAATATCCTTTTTAAACTCATATTTTAAGTCGATGTTAAGTTTAATTTATAAAACAATTTCGGAGTGCTACATACTTTGCCGAAACAATTGAACATTTTAAACATTTAACTGTGCTGTATTGTTGGTGAAAAATAGTGGTAATTGATAAAGTGAATGTGGTATATACTATTATAATGATGTGCACAATATTTAATAAAATATGTATTCTCAAAGTGCAATCTCAAAGTTGATCATGTGAAATAAAATATTTTGATGTCAAAATGACAATCATAATTATAATGCATTTATTAAAGTAAAGTTACATAAACCTATATTACAGTCATAACTCATAAGGTATATACAAAGTATACATCGATATATTATGGCAAGACGGTGTGCGTGACATATAATTGAAACAAATATAAATCAAACAAGTGATATCTGCAGTTTTGGGTTTCCAAACATAATTTCAGAACACATACAAATTTGCATCTCCGATGTATCCTTCCGTCCGTTAGTTATCTGTACATTACGAATATTTGTATTAAGATGGTTTTATACCGATCCTACTCCTACTAAATTAATAAAAGCTTGTATTAAAAAAATATCAAAACATAATTATTCAATACAGATTCATACAAGCTAATATTTAAAAAAACATACAGGTGAGTTCTAAAATATAAAAGTTACCAAATTCATTTTTAATTGTGTAATATGAAATTATATTTTATTGCGTTGTCTTAAAATTAAAATACGTTTAAAATATAGAAATATCCTTAACAAGATAAATTAATAATCCCATCTTGATTATTTTATTATGAATAGAAAAAAGATAGGTAAATTAATGTTAGGTCGTCAAGATAAGTAGTTTAGATATTCGATTTGCAGTTGCAAAATTAAAACTGAACAAACTCGCAAAATAGCAGTGGGGACCGAACAGATCGATGTAACCCTACTCCGTAGGCGGATGCTCATTATTATGACGAGAATATTGTCCACACTGAAACGTCGGCAGAATGGAGTTTGGAAAATGATATGTTATCGTTCGTGTTACTATTAATATTGATGGGTCTGTGTTATCGCTAACTTGCGGCGTGTAATTACAAACCAATTATACCATGGTATAGGTATGGTTCGCTTACGATATGCCCGCCAAACTGGCTACGACCTCATAGAGATGGCGAAAGCATCCCTTCTCCGATGACGGCGGTGTCCTCGTCGCCAATTATAAATTTAAGGTGATTCGATCCACTTATACGTATGATACGGCGCGAAACGAATGTTACTTTGTGGTTATTATTATGGTCGACTATTGAGCGAAAAAAAAAACATCATAAGTCCCTTTGTAAATCATACAGGTACTCATTCTCGATACCGCTACGACGGACCTCGGACTTTTATTTAGGGTGCTCTCGGCCCATACAGCTCACACTAGTATACTACGCTTGCACGCGTTGTCCTGGACTGAATCTGGGATTTTCCTTTAATTAATACACCCGTGTCATGGGAGGGGGAGGGGGGAGGAAATGCGAAATTTTAGTTTTTCATCCTCAAACAAAACCAATGCCGGCACCGTCGTTTCTGGTTATAATATGCATACAACGAAGATAAATTACAATACGCAAATTACCGGTAACGTGAAATATACTTCAAAAAGAATACATTAACATATTATATCCGTTCGATAACGCTCCGACACGCAAGCCCGTCAACTGTTAATTGCTTTCAAGTGAAAGTTAAGAATTAAGATTAACAATGGTGATGCTCAACGTAATTTAATACCATCACTACTGCTCAAATAACTCCACGGGGCTGTGCATAATTTTTGAACATATTGTTATAGTTTTCTGTCGAAATGCCGAATGTTGAATATTATTGCAGCTTTAATATTATCACTGAATAAGTTTCGAAATATTACGAAATCTAATTTGATCAAACTATGTTATTATATTATGACTGCATATTGCTTATTGTTTAGTAATTTGTTACAGCGCAAGCTCGATAGTCTGGCAAGTGCAGTGAAAATGTTGTTTTTAAATTTCCCGGAACACAGCCATTTTTTTTTTAATAACCATGAAACAATTTTTCATCTCGTTATTTTTTTTATTTTTTTTTATTCATTTTGCTATTGTTCAAAAATATTAAAATAAGGTTTCTTTTAGTAATTATTACTTTTTTGTATTTGCTTGTTGATTTTCATACTTTTAAAATATTTCAAACAACTTGTTGTTGCAGAACAAAAAATATAAGCTATAGCATTTAAAAATAATTGCAATTTATCGATTTATACTTCAATAATTTCTCATTCTGATGAAGCAAATTGTAATTTGTATTTATAATAATATAGCAGGTATCAGAAATCGTATTGATAAAATATGAAAAATATCTGTTCGATATATTGTTATTCATCCCATTGAATAACTATTTTAGATGTCATTTTGGCAGTCTTTAATCGTACTGCTCGTGAATTTAACCAGCATAATATTACTAATCTGAGCATAGATATGGCAAACGTCATCGAAGGCTGGGACCACATTAATACAGTGAAGAAAAAAAGTTCCACGTCCCATTGAATGGCTTAGCTGTGACCAAGTGTGTTTTATAAATGTATACTTCACTCACCCACCCCATTTTTGATAAAATAATTTGTTTAATAAAATAATTATCACTCTTACCTTGTTAAAGTTGTCATAAAAAAAAAGGCTAGGGGTAGATCTATCTGATCCATTTACCCCCATAAATACGCCACAGGTATAAACAGATAACAATTTTAATTTTATCGACCTTAAAACACGCAATTTGAAACTGAATATGATACTTGAGCCTAACGATACGCTTGTCGCCACTCATCTCTTGTTCTATTACTTTGTATAACGACGAGTTAAGATACGCGTATGACCCTGTCCAGAGATAAGGAGCCAACACATCGAAAACATGATATTATGCAATTAGCACTTTAGAATAGCTCGTAATCATATCGAATGTTTTACTGAATAATTTAACGGCTGCCAGGTTTATTATCTAAATATATACTTGACATAATAATTTAACACGATTCGGATTAACATGATTCATTTGGCAATCGGAATATATATTATAATATATTGTACTACTATTCGGTGTAACTTCTGTCGTACTACTTAATAATATTAACAATTGTTAATCGATCCTCGCATTGCGCGAAATACATTTCGAGTGCCGTTAAATTCATTCGATTTAATATTACCAGAGGTGTTAACCAGATGACAGATGTAGTGCATGTTTGTGGTATATCATTATGTATAATATGTGAATTTCATTATGGCCACAGTTCAGTTCGTGTGACACGTGACTTGTAATACAATTTATATCATTAATTGTTATCCGCTAGCAATATTATTCGAACGTCTTGTATTAATTGCCGAGTGCAACATAATCAAAAGTGCAGTATCCATCGTACAACTCGATTGCAGGTATACCTATCGATTAAAGATAAATACAGACATGAAGACGTATAGTGACAGTATTCAAATGAAAACTGAAATGGTAAATTATAGATATTGTTATAGTATAGTATCTGCCTTGGGCTTAACAACAACAAAAAACATTATTATTCGTTTTTCGTTTAAAAAATAGTAACCTGTTAGCTAATTCTGAAACACCACTAAGACTTGACGTTGAACTCTCTTAGTTCCTATACAGTATACCTTGTATACTTGGCACTTGCACTATTACAGTGTAAACACTCTTCTAAAGTATGTTATGAGTCATAAATAACTTAAAACTTATGACGTTGTATTTATAATCATAAAAATTGTATTATAGTTGTACCTTTATTTTGTAATTACAAAAATATCTATTTTACGTAATAATATTGTATGTTTATATACCACACACTTGTCTTTTAATTATGCATCATGTTAACTAGTTCTACACTTCAATTATTATGACTTGAGTAACTTAATATCCCATAACCTACAACCACCATTACTCTCTATAGACGGTTTGTAAACAATTCTGAAAACGGACCTGTGCTCGGTCAACCATAAAACTTGTGGCCAGCAGATTTTGTTTTGTGTTCCATTTGAGTTTGAAACAAACAGATTTTCTCATCAGCATTCAAGATATTATGCACCGGTGTCAGACGTCCTTTAGAGGTTCCGCAATTTTTTTAAGTCAAACACACCCGGTGAAAAGAATAATACCATGTAATAAGACAAATCCTCGTTATTAATAATTGTATGTCCACTTTTCATTTTCATTGAACACTCATTGACGAAAACGTAGAACGTGAACACGTTTGAGGTATGCATTGATATAGGTATTCACTTTGAAATCGCATTTTTTTTTCGATCTACCGTACTCTTTAAAGAAACGTTAACCGGCGGGTATTTTAAATAGTGATACGGAAAATAATTTGCATCCAGAATTGGGTATTTCAGTTTTCTCATAAAGAAACTGTTTCTCCACGTCGAGGTTAAATAACACGACAATATAATCGTTAAAAAAAAAAGTAAGCCCAGCTGAAAATAATACAGTATTATGTATATTAGAATATATATATTTTACTTTGGATTCGGATGTGTGCTAGATGATAAATTAAATAATGGCTACTACCTTATTTTGACAGTTTGTCGAAAAACAACAACACGCAAACTCGATTTTCTTATTTCTCGAATTTCCCAGTAACGTTTTTTTTTTGTTTATATGAGCCGTTATGTTGTAATGAACCCTGCTACTATAGCAGAATTAATCTAGGATCCATCTACAATCACGGTTTTTAGTCACGATTACAGGAAAGTTAATTTACTCTTCGCACACGAAATTTAACATGGTGACCTATTAATAAATTCGACTATAGAAAGTGTTCAATAAACAAATAATTGACAGTTAAAATTATTTTAGGATGCGATATTGTTTTGGTCAATGGTCAACTGTTACTGTTAAAAATACATTGAAGGATGTCAAATACAATGATTAGCTTATATTAGATGAAGAAACGCAAAGAAAATAAATACAGAGAATGGTTTCAAAAACTAAGTTTCGGGAAAAAAACTATATTGCAGTGCGTCGAACTTTATTTCCTATATTTAAATTGCATAACAACAAGGTAAGCAACGGCAGCCAGAGCGAAGTACAGGCACAGTAGCTTTTATCAACTACCACCGCGGGTGGTGTATATGGACGTTTCCATTATTATCATAATACATATTGCGTATACAAAGTACGTATTATAACTCAGTTGGACGAGGTAAATATAAAATAACGTTACCAATCAATAGGATAGTATTAAAAAAAAAAAAAGAAAAAAAAAGAATCGATAGAAAACTTTTATTTTTCAGTGATAAAAAAAAGACACGAGGACTAGGTGAAATGTTGTAACGGAGTGTTGCATGCATAACGGCGAAATAGTGTAATAATTTACACACTATTCCATAATTAAATTGCATTACACCGTTCGCCTAACAGCTGGGCTTAAAACAACGGCCGTGAGATGTGCACCGTTGTTGAAATATCAAATTGTGGTGTTCCCCCGAAGATCGTTTGTTGTGAAGTAGTTCCGGGAAATTCGAGATGATTCACTTGCAGTGATTAGTAACATACTCGTATTGTACGGGTCTTGGTTTTAATACTTGTGCTCATAACCGTTGATTATGTGATTTAAATATGCCATGTAATAATATATTCGAGGATTTAATGATTAAATACGTAAATAATACCACGATACACTACGCGTATAGCGTATATTTTGTTGAAATGCGTTTTCCGGAAAACATTAAATTTAATACCATCACACATACCTACTCTATATGCAGTAGATATAGGTTTCCGTTATTACCGATACGTTTTGATTTCTCGATGTTCGTAACATTCCGTGATAATTATTACGGTAAGTATACACCACCTGATACACACTTCAATCTCATGTTTTCCAAGACGAAAACAATAACAATGATTGACGTTAAAATTGTTTACGGTAGCTGGTATTAAAAAATATACATTTATTTAACAATTATTCTTGTGGTCAGCATACTTTTTTTAGTTATTAAAAAAAAAAAACAATCAACATTTACTTAAACCTGTAAACAGAAAATGTTTTTATTTTTGGTTTTTAGTTTAATATCGGAGTGATATATGTATTGGTTATTCAACGCAATTTGTGTACCTACGTGTGTGTGTGTGTGTGTGTGTGTGTGTGTGTGTGTGTGTGTGTGTGTGTGGTGTTTTGTGTCTAAAGGCACTTTTTTTAGTAGACAAATGTTTTGATCTCCATTATTGAGGGAGGGTGGTTTCTTGTAGTAAATTGGTTCTAGTTTGTATTTTGGAGGTCAAAGACAGAAATTTAGTAGTGCTTTTAAAAGTAATCGAGTAAAATAAAAAAATTAATTAAGACGAGTATGGCTACATACATAAAAATGAAAATCTTATATTTACATTCATAACTAACAGTTTATAAATTATATTAAATTATATATAGTTATATCTATAAATTAGAAACAAAAAGAATGTGAAATTTAGGTCCACGCGTGGAGTGTGACATTAATCACCTTAGTGTCTCGTTTGCTCAATAATTAGTGGTGGCATGTGAGACGTAAAAACTAAAAAGGAGTTGTGGATCAGGTTGAGCGCTGAGATACCATAAAACAAACTATACATAACATTTCAGAAGATTTTACTCTGCATTCAATAAGCCTTCAATGAACCTAATACTCGCATTATGTCTTCGTTCACCTAAAGAAAGTACATTAGTCAAGTACATTAGCAACCGGATTTTAAATTATAAAATAAAATTCAATATTATTAATTTACTGTAGTATGCTATACAAGCAATATACAAAATAATCTAATAAAAGCCTTATCAACACAGACTAGTTACCTCCATGTGGTTATTTCTAGCGATTAAACAATATACAGAGGTAGTAGTTACTTACAATAAAATTAACATAAGTTAATGATATATGAATACTATGTACACAAGGTAAGTAAATTAAAGTTCAGAATATTTTCGTTTTTATTGATATTGACTCTTACATTTTTATTTTAGTATTCAAATTACAAATGTGTAAATAGTTAATTTTGAATGTGTAATATTTTCTAATGAATCAATTGTATTTCTTTTACCTGCATTAGTCTGTTATAATATAGTACAGTATACTATTTAGTGGTGACACTGTGGTGTAGTAGTAATTAGTACTGTTGTAGTTTGATGATTTGTTGAACTTTGATCGAACGTTGTTCACCAACCTTTGTTTCCAGTGTCTAACTCACGATCAGATGTAGAGTTAGGTGTTTGCACACACTTAGGCCGTTGGCTCATTATCGACTTGATGATGATTTTACAATTAACGACATTTCCACGTCACGAGTAGGCGTATTTAATTATTTTAAAGTACACAATAACTAATGTATACTATTATTAATATAAAATACTTGACCATAGTGTGCCTAAAGAATTAGTTTCTTTTTTTCATTTGCTATAATGTATGTGTTTATTCTGTATCAAGTATACCACAAAATATAAATAAAAATATTAAACACTTTGGAACAAGTTTTTATTTTATTTTTGTTTGGTAGTATGGACGGTCGTTGTTTTATCACCACAGCCATCGGTGACTTAATAAATAATTTTTAATGCGTTGAAATATTGTGTAAGATTTGTCCTAGTTGTTCCGAGTTCGTCTGGATCCGGGTATTACGCAATTGAAGAGTGTCGATATCGGCATTGTACATTTTAAAAGCTGATATTTTATAATTAGGATTCCCGATTAAAAAAGTTTTCCGTCGAAGAGAGAAATAAATAAACGAATAACGTAGAAAAAAATCAATAGTAATGAGTTTACGAATGTACACATAACGCTGA